CTGCTATTTGCTGAAACTTTAACTATATCCTGACAGTAGTACATGAGACAGATAATCTGAGAAGAAATCAGGTTCCTCTGGCTCCTCCTAGTGCTCCTAATGGCATTAGCAAGAATCCATCCAGGCCAACAAAAACAACCGATCAGAGCTTAGAAATATGATCTCAGGTTGCCAAATACATAGGCTTTGGAATGAGACTTAACAATCAAGTCGTCAAACCCTCAACGCAAGAAGTCGTTATCTGATGACCCGGGATTGAGACTCAACAATCAACTATCTTTCTTGGCTCTGATTTTCTGTTTTTGTTCAGGCCCGGTGGATTCTTGCAAATACCATTAGCAGCACTAGGAGGAACCAGAGGAACCTGATTTTTTCACAGATTATCCGTCTCATGTACTACTGTCAGGACATAGTGAAAGTTTCAGCAAATATAACCAAAAAATATTTTTAGAAAAGTTACCTACTGCAGCTTTTACATATTTATTTCGAACCCTATACAAAATTATTTTTGCTTTCATTTTCCACTTGTAGAAGTGTGCACACAAGTAAAGGGATCTAAATGGGTTTACCTTTATACCCTTTAAATTCTGTCAAAGTAGTGAACCCGCAGAGATACTGAGCTGTCCTTCATTATTTAGAGTGTGCAGCCTGTGAACACTTAAAAGTACAGCAGCAGCGTGAGGTTTGATTCAAGTCCCCTCGCCCTGTCTCCAATCCACTGAAGTATCATTAATTATAAGCGCAGACGTTTCCTTAGGCATTCCAGGCACAGCATGTGTTGGTTCAAACGCATGCCTGCTCACATCAATTCCACTACTAAGTTGGTTTTCTGAGGAGTTATCAAAGATCTTCAGTACGCTTTGGGTTATTGTGCCCTCGCCGACTCTCTTCTTGCTACATTGGCAGTCCGTGCAGCTTGCAAGCTCCTTCTCATTTCATCACCTTCTCTCCCATCTACTCCTCCCAACAACTTCTCTCCTCCCCTCTCTCCTTTTTCTCTTGCCCTGTACTTCTTTTTTCCTTGCCCACAGTAACTCCGCTCTTTGTCTTTGTCTCCTTCCTCTTTTCTTGCTTCCCAGGAGCTTTTCATTCACTCCAGGCACGACTGCTGCCGCTGGTCCTTGTCTGTAGCTCCATGCTACACTGCAGCAAACAGAACCATTACCACCCACCCTCCAACATTCAACCTCCTTCCTCTCAACCTTCATCCATGTATCCTTACATTCTAATCTAATTGGGCTTGCTTTCTTTCAGAAGCAGTGTTTTGCCTGCGCTGCGCTCATCTCAGGGCATTCTGAATGTTCTCTCCTTTCTCTCAAGCTGGATTTTTCTGTATCACATCTCTCTCTGTTACACCCTAAAGGATTTAATTTAAGATGTCTTTTGTGTATCATGCTTGCACAGACATGGAAAATTAATGTGGATTTATACGTGGATTTAGAATTGCAGAAAATGTGCAGCTCCTTTTGAATTCTTGAAATTGATGAGCAAAAGTATTATATTCATCGTTTGGGGGTATTTTCTCCTATTGCCCTCTGAGTCAGGATTATTCCAGAAGCAGATAGGGGCTGATAGTCTTGCTCTAGGGCAAGGCCAGTCTGCCACTCAAAAAGAAGCTACTCCAGGAGTTTATTTGCACTCATACAAAATCTTCAAAATGGTGAGATGAAATAAGTGCTTCCGGTTTTCTGGCATTTTTGTTTAAGACAAGCCTAAAACTAAAGTCCCCATGAAGTCAGAAGTGTTTTCATCACATATATCTAGCACTATACGTCACCAACAATGTGAAAAAAAAGTCATTGTTTAGGTATTCTCAGGTGGTATTAATGGTATTTGTCATTTCCTGAAAAACAATAATGGTTACTGATGACTCATCCTGCACTATGGGGCGTATTCTAATTTTGTGACCAATGACATGCTTTCCCGTTTATGACGTTTCTGAGGGCCGATGTATTACATACTTCTCACTGATTGTACAAAAGAACAACTTTTTCAGTGATTTTGGTGAAACTGGATCATATTTTATGAAGAAAAATGTTCTGATTTTCACTCTGATGTCCTCCAGCTGATGAACAGATAGCCTAGTTGCCTGAACTAGATAACTACTTGCTAAAGTATGTAACCACTAATTAACTGCTGCTAACTGTATCTGCTAACTGTATCTGCAGGCAATGGAACTGGACTCAGAAGCCGGACTGGACCAGGATTGAACACAGCCTCTGAGACCCACAGGAAATAACATTACAGCATAGAGGTCATGTACAGAGTTTCCAGCACGGTCATCACATATCATCCTGGCACCATCGGACTTGGAGACTGTGTTCTGTGTCGGGTCTGCCTATGTTCACCAGAAGGTAGACGCTAACCAAGTGTGAACCTATCTTGACATCACCCATTGGTTGGTGGAGTATCATTTTAAAGGCTTGAGTTTGTCATTATGGTTGTCGCCACACAATACGCGAAATGATTTTAGGAGAGAAATAGTCAACGCAGTAACAGAATCTGGATCCATATCAGCACTGCCTAGTTTGACAGTTTGATCTGAGTTTGGTGCGTTGAGCTCACTGAGAATGAGCTGTCAATCACAAGTAGCCACGCCCTAAAGCATACCCTGC